ATTCACATAGTTAAAACCATCCCTTCCCAGGCAAGAAAAAGCTAAAGGAATTCATCACCACCAAACCAGTATTACAAGAAATGTTAAAGGGATTTCTTTAAAAAGAAGGAAAAAAAACAAAAAATATGAATTATAAAATGGCAATAACGATTTGTCAACAATTTAAGTGGATTAAATACTCTAAAGACATAGGGTGGTTGAATGGATGCAAGGGCAGGGTCCTTACATATGTTGCCTACAAGAGACTCACTTTAGATCGAAAGACACACATAGGTTGAAAAGGATGGAAAAAGATATTTCATGCAAAGGAAATGAAAAAAAAAGCTGGGGAAGCAATATTTATACCAGACAAATATACTTTAACATAAAGGCTATATAGCAAGAGATGAAGAAGGACCCACTAATTCCACTTCTAGGTATTTATCCAAAGAAACCCCAAACACTTAATTTGAAAAGACATGCAATCCATATGTTCATTACAGCATTATTTACAATAGCCAAGATATAGAAGCAACCTAAGTGTCCATCTATAAATGAATGGATAAAGAAGTGGTACATGTATACAATGGATTATTACTCAACCATAAAAAAGAATGAAGTCTTGCCATCTGCAACAACATGAATGGACATAGAGGGTATTAGGCTAAGCGAAATAAGTCAGAGAAAGACAAATACCATAGGATTTCACTTATATGTGGAATCTAAAAAAATAAACAGAACAGAAACAAAACTCCATGGATACAGAGTATGTTTTGATGGTTGCCAGATGGGAAGATGGTTGAGGGGACAGATGAAAAAGGGAAGAGATTAAGAAGTACAGGTTAGTAGTTAAAAAATAGTTATCGGGTATAAAGTATAGCATAGGGAATATAGTCAGTTATATCATAATGACTATATGGTGTCAGATGGGTACTAGATTTATCAGGGGGATCACTTTGCTAAATTATATAAACGTCTAATCACTGTTGTACACCTGAAAGTAATATAATATTGTATGTCAACTGCAATTGAAAAATGAAATGTAAAAAAAAAACAACTGTGCCACATTTTTGTGTTTGAACATTATTGTCAGTGAAATGGAACTACCTCGTCCTGAGTACTTTCTTTCTGCCTGTGAGTCAGCACTCCAGCAGTACCTGCTCTGCTGGTAGAGTCGAAAATCTCTACTGCTTGATGTTTTGGCCCCACGGAATCTGATGAGATTTCCCCCTGTGTTTTCACCTTACTCCTAATGGACACGTTAATATCTCTTGTAAAAATCAGCCTGTTGGATGTTGTTCTTAGAACAGTGCTAAGCTTTCAGCATTTACTCAGTGAAAGACATGTGTTGATTATGGGAGTGACCCACTATGTTCTCATTTTTAACTTCAGAGTTTAAGAACACCTTAGAAATTATCTAGTCTGGTTCATTTTATAGTTCAAGAAACTGAGGAACCAAGAGATGAAGTTAATTTTCTAAATTCACAGAACTAGCTAGAGGCAGTTCTGGGCCCAAGTACTTGGTCTGGGTTTCTGTTTGGTTATTTGTTTGTTTGTTTGTTTGTTAATATACCATATTGCTACAGCAGAGAACAAGACCAGTTCCCTCATGCTGTCTTCTATTCTGTCATTACAATGCTTTGCTTCTTCCCTTTTCCTTCTGTCTCCCTTAATGAGGGTCCAGGTTTCTCCAAATCTTCACCTCCACATATAGGACCTGGTCCATAATCTCAAATCAAAGCCGCTTCACATGACCTTCCCCACAGATATCTGCATTTGGAGAAGGCCGTTCTGCTTTTCTTGTTCCTCATTACTGTGATGTCAGCACCAGGGACTAGAGAGGGATAGGCTGACGTAAAGTGGCTGCTTTATTTCTTTTAATTCCATCTTTTTCTCTTTTGGCTGTCTGTACCCCGACCCTACCAGCACCCTGACTTGGTTCACTTCTCCTTAGGAGCACCCCACCTCCCTTGATCAGTTTCTCTTGCTTCTTGACACTTACTGAAGCTGCGATCTCAAATCAGTGGGCAGGAGGGGAAAGAAACACTGCCCTGCATTTATCTAGTAATTGTTTTCTTCTACATTATCTCCTTGGACCTTTTCAGCAACCTTGTGTGTTAGGTGGGGACAGATATTCTTATTCCCTTTTTTACTGACAAGCAAATGAAATACTAGTAGAGTAAATGATTCACTCAGTCTTGCATCCTCTCCGTGGCAAGAATAGAAACAGCCTCCCAATCCTAGTTTAGAGTCTTTTCTACTGTCCCATAGTTCAGTGTTAACAGAGAGACAAAATGTATCACCGACTGGTATTCTGAAATATATGTAATATCTTCTTTCCTGAAGATCTCATTGTCTTTTAAAGTCTTCTGAGGATATTAATCTGGATTTCTCTAGCATCTTTAACATCTTGGTTTCAGAAAAGATCACTGACTGTTTAGTGATATGATGGACAGATTCTCTGATAGTCACTGCATTGTCATTTAACAATTATAAAATGCTGTTACACGTGGACCTATGTTTGCAGTGTTTTGTTACCCTTTTGAGAATCTATTAGTAAGATAATGTATTCAGATTCTTGATTCAAACAATGTGTCGTACAACTTAATGATTTGATATTTTTATAAATTTTGAAAATCTACCTATTTGTAGTTTTTAATTAAAAGTGAAAGAAATATTTCTTTACATATAAAACACAATACAGTATTTAAACTGAAAATATTCATTAAAATATTTATTGCTTAACTAATAGTACAAACTGATGTTTTATTACTTCCTTTTTATAAAGTATTGCAAACAGATTGAAATTAATGTTTAACTTAATTAAATTCAACCAATACCTTTTACCAAATTGTATTAATGTTCATGTTACTTCACTGCCAAACAAAGCTTTTTAAAGCACATTGTGATATATACTTATAAGAAAAGTGAAATGCAGTTATACCTTTTTGAGTAAAACAAATGAGGAACGGACATTGTCCTGACGTGACTGGCAGTGTCAGCTCCTTGCTAAGCTGCTCTGTACAGTTGGTCAAGGGTGCCTGTATGCGAAGCAGCTGATGTGTAATGTTTATAACGCAGCTTCATTCTCACTGCCATTTGTCCACCCAGAGGCCTAGGGGTACACTTAATAGATTGTATGTAAGAGTCCTGGAAGAGATGTAAAACCCTGGTGTCATATGTCCAGAGCGCTCAGTATAATCTGAGCCCAGAAAGTATAAGGCCCAGTTGACATACAGTAAATTCGTATAAAGTTCTTTGACATAAATTAGAGTTGTCCAAATCCATTTCCTGTAAAATGGTAATATCCAAATTCTAGATTTACTGTAGATTTGTTATCTCCAGCCCTTTTTAAGTTATTTTTATGTTTCGGATTGCTAAATGGCACACTGCCTGGAGTATGCCCTCATGTTGAGACCACTCTCAGTTTGATCTAGTGCTAAAGAAAAAAGTGAGACTCTGTTGGGAATATGGTTTGCTTTACGAGTTAGGGTGAGTCGAGAGAACGGTCTAGACACGATGATGAAATTGTGGAAGTATTGTTGCAAACATTGACTATCTGCCTGTTATTGAGTTTCCTGAATGATAATTCTGTATGAATCCTGCCTTGGTAAAGTCCTGACAGTGTGGTAGCCTCCTAACAGATTAGCTATGTCCAGTCACATTTGTTACCACTTGTGTGCAATTTTGCAATTTCTTTATAAATTAGAGATTCGTTCTGCTTAGGGGAAAGTACACACACACACACACACACACACACACACACACATTGATTTATAATAAAATGACAAAAAGCTTTTTAAATGATTAAAGTAAAAATGATAGCCTTATGAAAATATAGTTTCAACATTTCTTAGAACCAGCATAAATAAGAATAGTAAATATGTAAAGTAGCACCATGTATTTTTATACTGTGGGTAACCGTTGTAGAAAAAAATCATCTTTAGGTTCCCAAATGATTTAGGATCTTCTTTCTTTGTTCTTTTCACATCATTTGTTATCTTTATTAGTTGAGCTTTGTCCAAACATTGTTTATTCAGAGACACCTTATCTTAGTCTGGTCTGGCTGCTATAACAAAAATAACATAGACTGAGCAGTTTAAACAACAGAAATTATTTCTTATAGTTCTGTAAGCTGGAAAGTCCAAGATCAAGGCTCTGGCAGATTCAGTGTCCGGTAAGGGTGTGCTTCCTAGTTCATAGACTGTTATCTTTTTTCTGTGTCCTCCATGGCAGCAGGGGCAAGGGGGTGTTTATAAAGGCACTAATCTGGTTCATGACCTAATCACCTCACAAAGCCCTGACCTCCTAAATATGACCACATTGGGGATTAGATTTAACATGTGAATTGGGGGGCGGAGAACACAAATATTTAGTCTATAGCACACCTATTGTTAGAAAGGAAAAGAAGTGATAAAATCAAATAAAGCTAATGATTAAAATGTTCACTCTTTGTCAGGCTGAAAAGAACAATAATTGTCTTTTAACTGGCTAACGGTTTTATAAAGGAATAGAGTGTACTTTTATTTAATGATTTCCATCCCAATTATTTCTACCAGCTTTTTTCTTATTTAAGAACTCTTAGAACATGACCATTTCTTTATATTATAGAGCATAGTAGAATGCTGACAATTTTAAATTTACTCAGTAAGGCTATTACCTCATCAACTGAAATTTTGAGTAAGCATCTCTTATAATGAAAAAAAAGTTTAAATTAATTCATCTAAGAGGATTTACTCAGAATAATTTTATAAATGTATCTGGAAAGGTAAATTGATTTTAAAAGATGCATAATTGATGAATTAAAAACATCATGTTGAAAAATCCATTTGCGATCCACTATGAGAGCAGCTTCTGAATGCCCTCAGGTAGAGGTCAAGCCAGTGGAGCAAATAATTTTTCATGCAACTAAAGAGAATATTTGTAGTAGAACATAGTGAAAAAAAGAGAAAATACATTTTACTTGTTGAACTTTGTGCTAACTTCTCCAATATATGTGTGTTTTGTTTATTCTCTCATAGGTATGAGAAAGTGCCAGTCATCTTGGTTGGGAACAAAGTGGACCTGGAAAGTGAGAGGGAAGTGTCATCCAATGAAGGCAGAGCCCTTGCTGAAGAGTGGGGCTGCCCCTTTATGGAGACTTCTGCTAAAAGTAAAACCATGGTGGACGAACTCTTTGCAGAAATTGTGAGGCAAATGAACTATGCTGCGCAGCCTGACAAAGATGACCCATGCTGTTCTGCATGTAACATACAATAGCATTCAAAAATGGCTATCCTGGACAGGATTTGACCAATATCATAGGTGATACAAACCTCGTCTACTCGACTGCGGAGTTTGCAGGATGTGTGGTGTGAATCTACAGTGAAATAGCAGCCCTTATTCAGAATTCAGCAGTGATTGTCAGTTGATATCTCTGAGTAACATTTGGGTTCAGTAACTACAGTTTTCACCATTGTCCTCAGTCTCCTATGTGCACCTGCGACTTTAAGGCATAGCCAATCGATCTACAGGGTGATCTCCTTTGAAAGCTGTAGTGGCATTGTAGCTGAGTTGACAGAAGCAACTCTTGTATAAATTACAAATAACCACGAGAGCGAAACCAGAACAATTCCTATGACCACTTACAATTAAAATATTTTGTCTTCTTTAAAAAAAAATAGGTAACTGAGAAATATTTTCCTACGAGAATACTGAATTTCAGGAGTTAAGATAGTGCTTCTAACCAATGTGTTCCATCGAGTAAGATAATAATGGCTGACCTGCCAACAGCATTACAGGGAGAGATTCTTTGCTCAGCTGACACATTTCTGTTTTTCAAAATTGATGCTTAATTGTAGATGTTATCCTAATTTGTGACATGGAACTAACTCATGCAGCAGTCCTTAATAGAGCAAAAGTCAGATCAGGTTGTGTAGAAATACAGTCTGGCTTTGGAATGTGTTAAATCACCTGCTTTGTCACAAAATGGAGGCTCTCACAAGGGTTTGATCTGAATTAAAACCCCATACCCACCCTCTGTTAACCAAGCAGGTGTGGTCTTTATTACTTTACTGAACAAAAAGGAAGCAACACTGATGCAAAGAGATTGCCCAGCCTTACTAACAAGACATGTTCTAGTAGATTAACCAGTACCATCATGTAAGGAAAATGAAGCCATGTTGCATCCACATGTTCCCGTTTGCAGAAACCTCATAGGACAGTACAAATATCTTGCATTTTGATGTTCATTAAAGCAACAAATTCCTTCTTGCCTTTAAGGGCTATGGTTGTGGTGTGATTCTTGGTTAACCTGCTTTCAAAATCAAGTTTTCTGTAGTGGAGCTTTATTGCAGGCATTTTTTAAAAAATTGAATAACCATGTGATATAATTTGGGCTTTAAAGTAGAATATAAATCATAGAATGGAAGGTAAGGGACAAAAAGAAACCTTTTATCTTTAATTTTCCTGGAGAATTATATAAAGATTTTCTTATAACAATTTTTCCCTGATTACTGAAGTGGCAAATAAAACTAGAGAATATTTTGTTTTGAAAAGGTGCTCACGCTCTGATATTTTTGGTCTTTATAGCCGTGAAGTAGTTATTATTTGCATGAGTAATGGCACAGGAAAAACCTATTCATAAGTTTTACAATCAGGCGTAGAAGGGTTTTTAACTAACTTCAGAGTTATAACTGCTTAAGAGAGAGTATCTTGAGCAGGTCCTCTGGAGATAAATTTGGCCTTCAGAACTGTAGTATCACTGAGCCTGTGATCTACACACCGCCCCACACTTTGTTGGTTTCACACTCTTGTGCAAATAACTTCTGGTCTTATGTGTGTAACTGAGAAGAGTGTATGTGCACATGTGTGTTTATTGTTCCTAAGAATTTGGCACAAGTTGGAGATAATTGCCTACACTGAGAATCTGTACTGAAGAATATAGTGTATCAAGAACATCTTTTTCTTTTAAATTATTTAAATGTTTATTTTACATTATTGAAATCATTGGTAGCCACCACCACCCCCCCCCACCCCAAGTGTTTAGTAAACTGGCATTAAGCTTAGAGGATAGAAAAAAGGCAGATAGTAACTTTTCATAGATGAGAAAACTGAAATGTGGGTGAAAGCAAGCCATGGTTGTCACAAGTCTTCGAATTGTGAATATTTGCATTCTTCAGTATAGGTTGTTTATACACCCTAATGATGCAGCACCTTGTTTATAGGACAAAAAGTTCTAACCAATTTTATTGAAACAAATTTCATTATGTAAAAATTGATTTGATTCAACATGTAGAGAAATCAAAGATTCAAGAAGAATGATTTCTCTATTGAAACAGAAATATTTGTTAGTGAATTGGTTGAGTTTTGAAGCCTCTAACTTCTCAAAATGATTCTGTTTTTTAGAATTTCATATTTAAGCAATTTATGACAACTAAAATATATTAGAAACATCTATAAAGATTCTACAGTTTCACATTATGGATTGCTATACAGACAAGAAAAATAATATGAAAGGTATGGCAAAAATATAAGGTGGAAAAGATTGTCTTAAAATTGGGGTTTTAGTTAGAAGTGTTTGTGTCAGACAATATATTGGGCTTTTACTGTAAAGATATTAATAACTGACTTGGCTGCTTAATCACAGTATTTCCACACAGCCCTACATATTTAGTGACAAAGCATCAAAGATATCCAGAAACGGGGAAACCCTTGTGTGCTCTTACTGTTGGTATTTCATGTGGTATGAATATAATTCAGCTTGAATGAATGTGTTTGTTGAGATGTTAATAAAAAGCTTAAGAACAGAAAGATTGAATTTGTTGGCACATGAAATAATAGTGGCTACAGAGAAAAGTTGGTGACCTTGTGTCGCTATTTATTTTATGCCCTGATCAGACTAGCAACTAGATAAGTGAAAGTTTTTCTAACATGCCTTAAAAACATTATGGTTTGATCCAAAGACCCACTTTTTTTTTTTTTTTAGCTATTATGCTAAGGTTTTTGTTTTGTCTTATTTTACTTTTATACAAAGGCAGCATTTGTTAAAGTTTTTTCTTTTACGTTGCAACTTTTGGTTCTTTTAAACTGTGATAGTGATGGTAACTGATGCCTTTAATTTTGTTCAACTTACACAAAACGAGCCAGCATTTGATCAAAAGTATTACATAAAATCTTTCTTAAACTGTTGAAAGGTGCTTTGATGATTTTCTCCTTTGGTTTGTAGAATTAGGACTGAACTTGACTCTAATTGCTACAGTTGCCATCATTTTTTTGTGGTAAAACTACTGATAATATTTTGCTTTTCTACATAAAGAAATGTTGCCTAAGGAGGTCTATTTGTTTTCAAGAGTTGTCCGCTGGGAATGTTGTCTATGTATGTATGAATATGGAAATGTTTGTTTTGTTTGTTGCTGTTTTTTTAGTTTTTGTTCTTCTCAGTAGTCTTGTGTTAGCACTGAGTAAGCTTTAATTGTCTCCTTAGCCAATCAAATGATAAAGACTATGGGGGGGTCTATTTTTTTTTTAATTAACATGTCATTGTGCATCTATTAAATCTTGATCAGGGTTTCAAGAATGACTGCGGTGGGTTTTGGATACAGATTTATCATTATTGATTTGGGGTTTCCCAGAGATAAATATAGTTCACAGTTAATTGTTGAGCTCTAATACAACTGACCATTTAAAATTGAACAGCAGTTTATTGTTTTGTAACAATGTCAGCTGTTAAACCTTGACATTTCAATTAAAACACAAATTGTAGTTATAACTCAATGCAAATTCAACAGTTGTATTTGGAGTTAAATTATTTTAACAAATAAATTTATTTAATGAAATTTCCTCTGGATTTTATTTGATTTTGTACGTATGTTTGTGAGTGAAGTATATTTAATATATCCAAAACAACTAGAAATTGCCACCAAATGAATTGAATGCTCCTCATATGGAAATATTCAAGCTGAATAAAATTTAGAATTTGTCATATAAAAAAGGAAGGTTAGTAGATCATTTTCATACCCTTTAAAAATAAAAACGATTTTAAAATCAGTAATCACAAATATCAACCTACAGTTTTTTATATTTTTGAAGATAGCTTACTAATTTGAAGTCTCAGTGCTAATGTTAACAGAATTATTCTAGATAATAACATTAATTAGCAGTTGCCTTTTGGTGCTGTTAGTATCTCTAAAACATATCAGTGCCCTTCTAGTGATGGCTTAGGGCTGTTTTTTTGATTCAGGTTTTGTGGAGTTTGAGGTGCCAGAAGCTGGAGGTTGCCGCTCTGTATGGCTGTAGGGCCTGCATGTTCTGTATGGGGCCCTGAATGTTGACAGATGCTGTTAATTATATACAGCTTCAGCTGCTCTGATAAGGAGCCCTTTCATTCCCTAAGCCAATTTATACTAGGCCTTCGGTTATGTTGCCTTCAAACTCTGCTGAAATCCTCCGGCAACATTCCACCAGTCTAGAAGCTTCATTGTTTTAGAATATAAGAATAATTTTGAATGAATATAACAGAGGCACTGTAGACAGAATCCCAAATATTTAAAAGAAAATGTTCCTATATTTTAGTATAATAGATAAAAGGGTGCTGCTTAGCTTTATAGTCTCCTTTGAAGCATTTATAAAGTATTTAAATTGATCAAATTCTAATTTCACTTAGGAGAATTTCTTTGTGGCTTAAAAATAGTATTTTGAAATTCTCCCGTTACACTGTTTATTTGATTGTTAGAAGTCGATGAATTTGGAAATATAAATAGCTGAAGGAATAAAGTGCCACCCCATGTGGAACCCATCCGACCTCGGACCTGTGAAGCAGAGAAAATTCTCACAAACTTCCTAAAAAAGCTGCTGACCTCTTATTTGTTTCTTAATATCAGATATTTGTGTTTCTATGTAAATACTAATAAAACATAGTGGCTCTTTATTTGTTAAATGGGTAATTTAAACTGGTTTTACATTTTTCAATATTAACTTTTTTTTCCTGGTTTTGGTTTGGTTTGGTTTTCCTTTGAGAGTAATAAGTTTTAAAAGATCTGCTCTTCCAAGTAAGGTGATATGTTATTTCTTTTGATATTTTCTTAGAACAGTATTCTCTATGTTACCTTCTAAGGATTCTTCCAAGACTTATTAGTGGAGAAGAAGATAGAAGACTATCTGCTTGAAAGATTAAATACAAAGACCTAGTTACACACAAATTAGGAGAAAAGAAACTAAAGAAATGATACTTGGTTTATGGGAATTTTTTATAAGATCTTCCACTCCAAAAACTCAAAAGTATCAAAGATTTAACATTTTGTTTTGTTTTTCCCACTGTAACCTCATTTCGTGGAAGGGAGAAGGCAGCTCTCAGATCTCTCTCATGAGGGCACTAATCACATCATGCGGGCTCCACCCTCATAACCAAACCACCTCCCAAAGGCCCCACCTGTCACACTGGGGATGAGGTCCCAACATATGAATTTTGAAGGAATTCAAACATTTCATAAAGCACTATTCTTGTTGCCTTTCCCTTTCCCTCAAGCAAATACAAATTAGCCTACCAGCAAGAAGTAATTCATTTGTGCCTTTCCTACTTTTACATGCCAGTATTTTAGTAACCCAGGCCAAGCCAAAGTCCTGGGCACAGCTCACAGAGGCAGCTGCTGACTCAACTTCTTTGCAAGACCAGCACAGCAAGCCTGAGCTCTTACATCCGGGAATTTGAGGCATCTATATGATGAGTGGGGGTGGATGGCAGTGCACAGGGCTCCAAGGCTCTGCTGTTACAGCACGTGTCTACTTCCTAAGGAAGTATTTAGGCTAACAATAGGGTCTATGAGGGGCTAGCTCATGGAGGGCAGGCAGTGGGACCAGTGAGCTAGTTTGGGGACAGTAACAAAGCTGATGAGTGCAGAGGGATCCATATACCAGATACTGCACTGAAGAATAAATGTTTGGTACATGCCTACAGTTAAATACTAGACATTTTTATGTTTTAGTGAGAAGTATAGTTAAAAACATCAGGATTAGAAAGCATTTTCTAAGACCCTTCTACAAAATGAGGGGTGAATGATTCACATATACTTAGAGCAATTGAAATAAATCATTGTAGGGAACTACTAAAGCCAAGAAATTATATACTGTTAGTGGAAGGACAATAGAATTTCTGTGAAGACAGACAAAATCTGAGTAAGACAGCGAATGAAAAACTGTGAACCAAAGCGACTGAAGGCTTTATTTACTTAGTCCTTAGTCATGTCTGTGTGGTAAAAAAGTGAGAAGGCCATGGCCTAGAATCTGTGAGTCCAGGTTCCAGAGGGAGATCTGCCCACAGAATGTTCCAGTACATGGACGTTACACATTTCTTTGGAAAAGATTTATCCCAAGTGTGTTCTGAAGAGGTCTTATTTCATGAGATGTTTTGCAGGAAATTATTCTAGAGTCAAGTAAGTTTGGAAAATTCCTCATAATACATCTTATATCTTGTAAAAGGCCCTGAAAAATTACACTGTTATTTCCAAAACTAACCTGGTCCCAGGACACTTTTTTCACATAATACGTAATAGTATGCTCTGGACCAAAATTTGAGAAATGTTGCTATTGGATATTTGCCCTCTAAACCCTGCCACGGGAACTCCAGGTGAAGGGCCCTGAATCACTTGTAAACCTAAGAACTCGAGAGAGAGGGAGAGGAAGAGAGAGAGAGATTGAGAGAGAGAAAGAGAAGACTTGTGGTCTCTGTCCACTTTCCTCAGACCCATACTTAACCTTGGCCTTAAGAGCTCACCTTTTTGAGAAAGGTAAAAAGAGGGAGAAGGAAAGATAAAACCAAGAAAAAACTAAAGTCTAAAATAATGAGTTTTCTCCTTAAACCCTATATGTCTACTCCTAGGCCAACTCACAGCAGAGAGTCTTTTCTTAGCAGATAGCAGCCTGGACCTTGCTCCTTACACAAAAGTACCCACCCTGTTGCGTTGTGACTCGCCACTATTGATCTTGACCCCTATCAGGAAATGATGAGTTGGGATACTGTTAAGAAAACATTGGCCAACATCCAGGAATCCAGGAATCTTATCTTTGATCTCCCAGTGTCATCCTTGATGGAGGTGTAAGCTCCTGCGTACTCACCCTCACACAATGACACACACGTGCACCCTAAAACACCACAATGAGGGAGCAGCAATTACTTGCTGGAGCTTTCATTTTAAAGCTGAAGTGCAGAACACTAGTGAGTACACTGACTGGACCCCCACAGACTCAGGTTGCCAGAGGAGCCTAGAACGAGAAGCAGACCCAAAGGCTTCTGTGTACTTCTGTCTTGGAGCCTGAATCCAAATTATGAATATTGTCTCTGCAATGCAAAGAAAACCCAGAGCACCTCTGCTGGTTGAGAAGAACCGAAAAATAAGGAAAAAGTGAGTTTGATCCAGTATCTAGAAAATAACTCCCCTAAGCCATCTACTCAGTCCTGATGGGAGAGTGGGAGGAGGGCACACAGGCAGAGGATGCTACTAGGAGAGCTGCCTCTGGACTCACCTCACTTCACAAGGGAGAGGAGAGAAGAGCAGAGACACCTTGGCCTTTACTCGGGGAGAGGGAGCATCTGGGCAGCCTGCTACTCTAGCTCAGGGGGCGCTTAAAGCACACATCCTCCAGCAGCCAACCTCCTCTTGGGAGTGAAATAGAGATAAAAGTGAGGACAAATATAGGTGGGAGGATAGCATTTCCTACACCAGAGACCAACAATACCTTTCTTATAAGTAGAGTTTCAATTTATTTTGTTTGCAGGCTTTCTACCTTTCAGTTCATGTACACACTCTATATGAGTTATCTATTGCTATGTAACGAATGGCCCCAAAACTAAGCAATTTAAAGCAGCAAACATTTATTACCTCATAATTTCTGTAGGTCAGGAATCCAAGCAAGGCTCAGGTCACTCACAAGAATGCTTGCACAGGCTGGGCTTTCAGTCACCTTAAGGCTGGACTCGAGGTGGATCCACTTGCAAGCTCCCTCAGTGGTTACTGGCAGGATTCACTCTCTCTAGGGCTGTTAGACTGAGGACTTTGCTTCCTGGCTGGCTGTAGGCTAGAGGCTGCCCACATGGGCTTCACCATAGGGCAGCTCACGATGTGGCAGCTAACTTCATCATAGTGGGCAAGTGAGAGAGCAGGAGAGGAGTGTGAGCAAGACAGAAGTCACAGTCTTGTATTTTAATCTCAGAAATGACATGTTACCACTTTTGCCTCATTCTCTTAGTTAAAAGCAAGTCACTAGGCTCAGCTCACACTCAAGAGGAGGACATTACACAACAAAGTTTCATAATGGTTAATTTTATGTGTCAGCTCAACTGGGCCATGGGGTGCCCAGATATTTGGTCAAACGTTATTCTGGATGTTTCTGTGAGTGTACTTTGGACGAGGTTAACACTTAAATAAATAGACTGAGTAAAGCAACATTCCCCTTCCTACTGGGAGATGGGGGAATGCTTCTCCAATCCATTGAAGACCTGAATAGTACGAATAGGCTGACCTTCCTCCAAGTAAAAGTGAATTCTTCTTGCCTAACAGCCTTCGAACTAGGGCATTGGCTTTTTCCTGCATTTGACTCAGACAGAAATACTGGCTCTTCCTGGACCTCAAGTCTGCCAGGCTTTGAACTGCAGCTATATACTATTGGCTCCCCTGCTTCGCAGGCCATCAGACTCAAACTGGCCTTACCATATTGGCTCTTCTAGGTCTCCAGCTTGCTGACTCACCCTGCAGGTCTTGGGACTTGCCAGCCTCCATAATCTTATGAGCCAATTCCTTAAAATAAAACTTTCTATAGAGAAATAGACAATAGAAGGAAAGGA